TAAAGCAGTGATCCTTTTTATTGATTTTTATGGTTTTCTGAAGTAATGGGGAGAACTCTCTTTGTTCTTCGTGTCCCACATAAGCTTGGGAAAGTGGATTTAGCATCACAGACCAGCAGCCCCTCACTGAAGAGCTGGCTCAGCAGCAGGTAGAAGCTGTGTCCCTGCTTGAGCTGGTCCTAGTCAGTGAAGGTATCTGAAGCAAAGCAGCATCAGTATATGTAACATTCAGGGAGAGGCTGCTTGACCATTGCCTTTGTGACTAAAGGAATGTACAGTCTTAAGTACCTTGTGAGTTTTCATTGTAATAAAATATGGTCTCCCCAAGGCGAAAGCTATGTTCAAATTTGACAAGCGCTACTATAATTCTTTTGGAGGTTACTATATTTCTTAATCTGTGGGTTACAGCCCATTAATGTGTCAAGAAATAAATACAGTGGATCACAATTAGGTTCTTGGGAAAAATGAGTAGTTACAGGTAAAAACTACCACACTTTTGCTTCTTTATACATGAACAATGCAGGTATATCTGCTAGGCCCTGACCCAGATACCAGACCATCTCTAATTTAGCCATTATTGGGATGATAGACACATTCCACGGTGCCCACTTTTTTAGATGGGATCCAAACTAAGTTTCTCATACTTTATCAACTAAGCCATCTTATTCCCAAGTTTATCTCTTTTTTTAAATTTTTTTTTAATTTTTTTGAGACAGGGTCTCCCAGCTGTCCTAGAATTCACTATGTAGACCAGGCTGGCTTCGAACTCAAAAAGATCTGCCTGCCTCTGCCTCCCAAGTGCTGGGATTAAAGACATGCGCCACCACGCCTGGCCCAAGTTTATCTCTTAACAGTGTATCACCTCTGATGGGAGATGCTGGTATAGAAACAGCCATGCCTATGTGGGGCCATTTGTAAATGGGAAATTTATTTTCTTTCCTTTCATTTTTTCAGAAAAAAAAAATCTAAAGCTGCTCTAACGTGTTATTTAAAAAGGCTGGGAGAGGGCTGGAGGGATGGCTCAGCAGTTAAGAGCACCAGCTGTTCTTGCAGAGGACCTGGCTTGGTGGCTAGCAACTGTCCATAACTCTAGTTCCAGGGGATCTGACACTCTGTTCTGACCCCCAAGGGCATTGCATGACACAGGTGCACTTACATATATGCAGGCATGCATTCATACACATAAAAATAATAATTTTTTTTTAAGGGCAGGGAGAGCCAGGCAGAGTGGCACACGTCTTTGATCCCAACACTTGGGAGGCAGAGGCAGGCAAATCTCTGAGATCGAGGCCAGCCTTGTTTCCATACTCCATAGTGAGTTCCAGGCTAACTGGGGCTGCAGAGAGACCCCATCTTTTTTTTTTTTTTTTTAAAGGTTGAGGGGGTGGCGGCAGGGGTGTGTGTGCTTTGCTTTAGAAGGCCTTCTGGGTACTTGGGTGCGGCCTAACTGTGAGGCAAGGCTTCATTTGGCTTACTTTGCATGCCCCAGTGTAGTGCTGCCATGAGGTGAAAATAAGTGGAACACCAGACTTCAAAGTGCTTCTGCTGATCTGCCACCCTCAGAGAGGCGGTATATTGTTAAGTTGCTTCCAGGCCAGTGAGAGAGATTGTCTCAAACAAAAAGTGGAAGGTGCCTGATCAATGATACTGTGTGCATATAAACAAGCAAAATTTTTAAGTGCTGAACCTAGATCATAGTCACTCAAGATCCATAGTGTATTAGGATTGCCCCTAGTGTACATTCTGTGGGTCTAGAAGATTTAGACAAGTATATGATGACATATATCTACCACTGTAGTCTGAAGATTATTTTCATTACCCTAGAAATCCATTGTTCTCTGTTTATCCCTCAGTTCCTGGCAACCACTTGTCATTTTATTGTCTCCATAATTATGCCTTGAAAGCAGATTTAACCACCCCAAAGCGCAGTTCTTGAGGGAGGTAGTTTGGGACAGGTTCAGAGCACTGGAGTGGCTGTTGTGTTTCTGACCTTCTCATGGTCACAAGGTAGCGGCTGTGACCTTTCCTTTTTTCTTGAGACAGGGTCTTCTTATAGGCCCAGCTGCTAGGAACTCACTATGTAAACCAGACTGGCCTCAGTCTCTAGAGATCTGTCTGCCTCTGCCTCCTATGTGCTGGGAGGCATACACCACCATGAGCTGCTCTACCTTTTTTTTTTTTTTTTAATTATTTTTACTTCATATGTATGAGTGTATTGCCTGCATGTATGTAAGTGTGCCTGTGTCATGCAGTACCCACAGAATTCAGAAGAGGGCATTGGATCCCCTGGAACTGGAGTTGAGGACAGTTACTAGCTACCATGTGGGTGCTGGGAACCTAACTCAGGTCCTGTGCAAGAGCAGCCAGCACTCTTAACCATTGAGCCATCTCTCCAGCCCCTCTATGTTATTTTTTGAGACAGGGTTTCTCATTGAACCTGAAGCTATCTGATTGGCTAGACTGGCTAGCTGAGAAGCCCCAGAAATTCTCCTGTCTCCCCACCCAGCTCTGGGATGGGAATACAGGTGGGTGCCACCATATCCCAGCTTTTTGTTTTGTTTTTCTTTTCTTTAATTTTTTAAAAGATGGGATCTTAATGTGTAGCCTGGCTGGCCTGGAACTCTCAGGGATCCACCTACGTCTGCTTCCTGAGTGCTAGGATTAAAGGTGTATGCCACCATGCCCAGCTAAGCTTTTTTTTTTTCTTTTTATAGGGGTTTTGAGAGATTGAATTCAGTACTTTACCAACTGAGTCATCTCCAACCCAGGAGTTTCTTCTTGGGTATCTTTTTCTTTTAAACTGATGATGTGGGACTTTTCTAGAAAACTTGGTTAGATTGTCAAAGTAAGGGAAGTGGTGGCTAAGCCTAGGGCCCAAATGCCTGTATACCGAAACTACACCATCCATAACTAGCATAGAGAAAGGCTTAGGTTGAGTCCAGTCCTCTCCTGGACTGAGCTGTTGCCACTCCTAGAAAATTGATGCTGGCTCAGATATAGAAGCAGAGCTCTGGTCTGGATTGTGTTGCAACATGGATTCAGATGCTCCCTGGGCATATTTCACCGGGTTTTGTCCAGGTGGTTCTTGCAGGAAGTTAAGCTTAAAGGCCAGGGATCACTCTTTTGTCCTGGGCTCTGACTCAAGGTCTGATCAAAAAAGCACAGACCAGGAAGAGGCTATTTCTGGTTATCAGTCTCCTTCATGGTTCATGGTCCTCGCTGACTAAATAAAGCCTTTTGCTAAGAGTTAGGATCCACTATTCATTGACTCTGACCTTGGGTAAGCTACAGTGCCTTGGAGTTGGTTTCCTTATCTCTGTTAAAGCGTCTCAGCAGAATGGAAAGGCTTGTTGCATATCTAGGGAAAGGATTCTGAGAGTCTTAGTGTCTGTCTTTCCTTAACTTTGAGTTGGGTTGAGTCCAGTAGTATACAGTGATGATAACGTGGAGCCTCGAGACTGGTTTTCTCAGTTGCTCACTTAGAGAGACTGTTCAAGATTTGTCAGTTCCTACATCAGGTGGCAATTGTGTTCTGGTAAAGGAGTGACCCGAAGTATGTTCTCTGGCTTAGTAGTTCTGGGTGACACCTCCTGCTTCGTCACACACTTAGAGTAGGGGTGGGTCTTGCCTCCAGGCTCAAGGCAATGTGAATCCCATTCTGCCTAGGACATCTGTCTGGGCTCCTGCTTGGGACGGCAGCCTCCATCCTGTTTTCTATTTGGTTTAAGTCTATTTGGTGACTGTAATGCTCTCAATTCATCTCTGCTTCCCCAGCCTACTGACCAAGAGTTGACGTTGTTTTGGAGGTTGGAATTTTTATCAGGCTTTCTCTTTCTTCCCTCTAAACACATAGGCATATGCAACAGCATTCTGTTTTGATGGCTCTTCAAACCCTAGTGGGTATCTACCTTCAGCCTCTTAGAACATCAGTTGTGTGTCAGTTCTGGGTCAGCCATTGGCTGGCCCCTTCCAGCCTGAGATTGCATTGTAAGAGCTTTCAGCAACTCAGTGTCAGCTATCCCAGTTGGCTGATGCTGGCTTCCGGAGAAACCCATGCCAAGGGTGTTTTTGAAAAGAGAGCTGCAGATGTCTGTCACAGATGTCTGCTCTTCTTTTCTCACGGTGTTCGTCTTCAAACTGGAGTTCCCCTTTTTGCTGTGGTTTGCTTGGCCTCTGGGAAAACCAGTCCGGTAGAAAGAACATGGTCTGTGGACTTCCAGTCTAGTTTTGCCAATTGGGCAGATGACTTAATTTCTCACCTCAGGTTCTTGGTCTGTGAAATAGGGACAGGCTATGGGTTTGTGTATAAAGACATGAGCTTCAGCCGTCTGGGGCACCATTGGGCCAAATAAGTGGGATGAATGCTAATGTTCCCAGGTTCCTCTAGTTCGTCCAAGTTATTTGCTATTTAACCAGGAACATTGTAACTCAAGAAGTAGTGTATGCCCAGGTTCTGGGTTTGTGCGATACAGTCAGCACCAGAGTGCTGGGCAAAGCTGTCTTCCTATTGTTTCTCCCTCATCGGATGATGCTGATAGGGTTCTGATGAACGCAGTCACCCAGCAGGAAGAGCAGTGATGCATATAGCCATAGCCAAACACCAAGGTCTCAGTAGGGGGTGTCATGGGGTACAGTGGAGCAGGGTTGGAAGAATATGGTGTATGCATGACATGTGTAAACCATGACAGAATCAGGGAATAGTGTGTCCAGTGCCATGAGCAAAGAAGGCCACAGTTACTAATTGAGGAATCCATGTAGTGGTCATGGCAGGAGAGAACTTAATGTTCCTCCCTACTCCAGAACAAGATAGAAGCATGGTGTCAGGCCTGTCACCAACTGAATAGCAGTCCAGTGAGGTCACAGGAACTCCTCCAGAGACGTCACAGTTCCCTAGGCCTAGGATACCTGACCAGGCAGGCACTCTGGCACTGGCTTGGTAATAGGACCTACTTCATGCCATTTCTCCTGGTTACTCATTTTACAACTGCCCTTTTTTACAGGGATGCTTGAAGATGGAAAGAAATTTGATTCCTCCCGGGACAGAAACAAGCCTTTTAAGTTTATGCTAGGCAAACAAGAGGTGATCCGAGGCTGGGAAGAAGGGGTGGCCCAGGTATGTTCTCTTGCTTTGTTTCCTAACATTGACCTGTAGGGTTTTTTAGTGGGGGATAGGGGGTGTCTTTTTGAGACAGGGTCTCCCTGTAGCCCCAACTGGCCTGGAACTCCCTATGTAGATCAGGCTGGCCTTGAACTCACAGAGATCCGCCTATCTCTGCCTCCCAAGTGCTGGAATTAGGTATGTACCACCACACCCAATTCTATATTATTTTTTATGAGCATATTCAATATGGTCAAAATTTCAAGAAAAAAGTGCCTGACACTCCCACAAATGACTGGTCCGGAGGCTTTCTTACCTAGTTAAGGCATACACTGGGACAGACCCCTACTTCTCATGCCTTTACCTGAACGTGACAGGGCCCATACAGCTGAATAAAACTCTTGTGGAGGATGGGTGCTATAATTGACTCTTTTTCAGTATTTTGCTAAAGTAATGATACTGTATCTTTATTTTACATATGTACAAGTATTATGGGAAGGCAAGTTCTACAAAAGTAGGGTGGGTTGGCTGTAGGGATTGTACTCTTAAGTGCCACCAGCAGGCTGTGAAGGTGCAATTTTTCCCCAGCAATGTGCTGGTAAAGCTGTTTTGCCCTTGGGATAATATGTGTGAAAATGGCGTCTCCTGTACTTTTGTTTGTCTTGGTATTGACTATACATGTCAGACCACTTCCGTGTGTGTTGTGTGCATTGTATTTTGTACCTGTGTGTGCATGTAGAAGCCAGAGAACAACCTTGGTGGTGCCATCTATCTTTTTTTTTTTTTTTTTTTTTTTTTAACTATTGAGAATTTCACACATACATAATAAGGTTTTGATCAAATCCACACCCACTTTGTCCCCTCAACACCTCCCATATCTCCCCATTACTTTTTTCTCTTTCTTTCTTTCTTTCTTTCTTTCTTTCTTTCTTTCTTTCTTTCTTTCTTTCTTTCTCTCTTTCTCTCTTTCTCTCTTTCTCTCTTTCTTTCTCTCTCTCTCTCCTCTCTCTCTTTCTCTCTTCTCTGTCCCTCCCTTCCCCTCCCTCCATTCCTTCCTTCCTTCCTTTCCTAATGGGGCTTTTTGCTACTCTTAACATTCCTCTGAAGAGGTAACCCTAAAATTTTTTAGGTATTAGATAAGAGCCCCCAAATACTTTTGACATTTTTAGCGTTTGGAACAGAGTATGATGCTAAGAGGCCCAAGGACATTTTGACTTTAAGCCAAGAAACTGGCTACTTTTCTTTCTTACCCTAACTGCCTAGCCAATTCCTACCTCCTATTCTTATCATACCATCCTCTGAAGAGGTTACCCAGATTGCCAATAGGGAATAGGGATGCAGACCGCTCTGGCCTTCTTCCATGCTGAACAGGGATGCAGGGTGAGGCAATTGGAGTACACCTTCAGTGGGTCGATCTAAAAGACTCCCAAATTGCATAACTTTTAATTTCTAGGGGGAAAAGAAAGTCCTTGAATCGTGAACAGGGGATGTGAAGAAATAAAGGCAAGAGTAGTTAGCATTACAAGTTCTAGACAGGGAACTAGAAAAAGATCAGAACAGGAGCTGGAGAGATGGCTCAGCAGTTACGAACTTTGATTGGTCTCGCAGAAGACCCAGGTTTGAATTCCAGCACCCACATGGCAGCTGACAACTGTCCGTAACTCCAGTCCCAGGGGATCCGACAGCTTCTTCTGACATCCGTGGGCATTGCATGACACGGGTGCACTTACATGCATGCAGGCAATACATACATACACATAAAATAAAAATATTAAAAATATTTTTTAAAAATGGCAAATTTCAAATGTTCTTATCAGAGTCCATTGGATTTCTTGATGGGAGCTTCCAAAAGCATCCCTCTATTGGGTTCCTCCTCATTTTTCTTTGGCTGCCAAGGCTGGACTCGAGAGTGATGGACTCAGGAGTTGTTTCAAGCACTTTGATAGCTGTTGGAGTGGCTAGAATCAGTGTCAGTTCCCTCTCAAAGGTTTCTAGATAGAGGGAGAAAACAAATTTAGAGTAATAGTGGTATATCTCCCTTAGCTACAGGTGGGCACTACAGACCAAGATTTGAAGTCTTACATCTGAGCAGCACTCTTCTGATTAGGAACAAAATCATCAATGAGAAATAATTGTCTAAATATTTTATATGGACTTAAGCCTAATGTCTGGGAAGTTAAATCCCTTGAACTCTTAAAGAAATATACTAATCACTTTAATCTTTGGTTATACTTTCCTTTTGCGTGCTTAAGACCATATGGTTGGCCCAAATAAAACAATTTTTTTTACTATTCAGGTTTCGGGAGGAGCCCCTGGCTCCTTTCTTTTACCAGTTCCATCTATATGAAGATAAGTCAAAGGTCCTGTTGGACCTTGGCTGGCTTCACTTGGGAGCATGGAGGAAATGTTTCCTCTGAGTTGACCCTCCTCTTTGTAGACTGGACACTGGTTCAAGTCCGTCTGGTGGAGTATCCATGGCCTCTCTGAACAGGAGGACAGGTGACTCACCACAGTTAGAGAACATTTCGAGAGATGTTCCATAGTCCCTTGGAACTACATTGGAACAACATTGGAAAAAGCCATTTGCCTTGAGTCCATTTCTTTACCTCTTCCCTTTCTATTTGTGGAAACACTTGTTCATCAATACTACAGAATTCTCAGGAGATAATAGGGGACCCAGGATTGCCAAATTTGGGTTGGATTTTTTTTTTTTCCCTCTCATGGAGACCAGGAATTTTTCCTTGGCTTTAACCAACTAAAAGGATGTTTGCAGTGGGCTCAGACCCAGGGGGCTTTATAATTAGGCTGTGCATGATGGTTTTCTTCTTAATAGATTTATATCTCTTCTAGAACATGCATTACTTTAATTTCTCTGCAAAATTCACTGATTGAATTTCAGAAACTTTAGTCCTTCCACCTACGTGGCTCTTCATTCCCACAAGGCAGGGAGTTGGCAGGACAGGGGAAGAGGCCCTTTGTGGTTTACTAGCCATACTGTTTTGCCCTTACCCTGGTCTTCCAGCTGGCTCCTGGGTCTGTAGCCCAGTCCCATTTCCCATACCAATCATTGTCCATACTGTAACCTGTCTTGATTCTTCAGCATTCGGACAATAGCAATCCCAAGTGCTGTAGCTGCCTTTGAGATAGTTTTATCCGCCTACTTTACAAGTCCCAGGCTTATTGAGATGGGATTGGGAGATGGCCACACTCCTTGATGTGGTATTTTGGAGTCAGTCACAACCCTGCCTCTTGAGCCTTTCTAAGTCCTGACTCAGAAGGCATAACTATTTTTTTGTTCTTTTCTGTCTTTCCAATACTGGCCAGAACCTCAGTTATTTCTCTGGTACTTTGGGCTTCTTTACTCTTTCTCTAAAGCTTCCCTCCCTGCTATGTGTATAGCCTCTGTGCTGGCTCAACTCAAAAGGCATGGCTTTTTTCCTTCTCCTCCAGGCAGCTGCTGAGATTTACAGCTTGCCTGGGGTTTTCTTTTAAACTTTAAATTGTCCTCTTTAAATATAATGTAATAATTATACACTTATTTATTTTTGGTCTTTTTGAGACAGGGTCTCCCTATAGTCCCACTGGCCTGAAACTCACTATATAGTAGACCAGACTGACCTTGATCTCACAGAGATCACCTGTGTCTGCCTCCAGAGTGCTGGGACTAAAGGTGTGTGCCACCACTCCCACCTTTGCTTTTGGATATTTGACCTGTGCTTTTTTTTTTTTTTTTTTTTTTTTTAAAGCAGTGGTTCTATAATGGTCAGGTGTGGTGGCCCACACCTTTAATCCTGGCAGAGACAGGCTGAGTTTGAGGCCAGCTGGGGCTAGAGGGAGATCCTACCTCAAAAAAACAAAAAAATAAAAACCAAGAAAAAAACAGTGGTTTTATTAAAGAACAGTAAGCTTGAGCTCTCTCTGAATTGCCTCGGCCATAGATTCATTTAATCACAGATTTTTTAAAAAATTGCATCTGTACTAAACACATACTGACTTCTTTTCCCCTTACTTTAATTGCCCAAATAACAGAGTGTAAAAATAATTTGTGTGATATCAATAAGGTCTAGGTGGAGAGATTGGGGACCTGACCCTTCCAAGAGTCGAGATGGGCTTTTAACTGCCATTGGGTCTCTTCAAGTGTGACTGCCAGCCTCCAAGTCCTTCATGGGGTGAGGCTGCCTGATTCCCAGGCAACTTCAGAACCACTGACATATCCTGACCGGGGAATACCTAGGTAACCAGGCTGCTTCTGTAGAGATCAGGAGTGTGTCCACTGAGTTTATTTCTTGTTCTTTTCACAGATGAGTGTGGGTCAGAGAGCTAAGCTGACGATCTCTCCAGACTATGCCTATGGAGCCACTGGGCACCCTGGCATCATCCCACCACATGCCACTCTCGTGTTTGATGTGGAGCTTCTAAAACTGGAATGACAGAAGTGGCCTCTTTCTTTAGTTCTCTGCACATGGGTAAGGGAACTTAATGCTAAAGGACTCTAACTGCCTTTGCTGCTCCCTTGTTATGCCGTGTTTGATGGTAGAAGAGAGAGCAGAAGATACCACACAGCCCCTTTTAGGTGTCCCATCATTGTTAATGTCCCTGTAAAATTTGGTCATTCTAGCCAGGTGTGGTGGTGCATGCCTGTAGTCCCAGCAGAGGCTCTCTGTGAATTCAAGGCCAGCCTGGTCTGCATAGCAAGTTCCAGGCCAGCTGGGGCTACGGGGAGATCCTGTCTCAAAGAGAAGAGTCTCAAAGCCTCAGGGCAACCAGAAAGTTGTAGATTTTGATACTGGAGCTATTTTCCATTTGGGGCTGTCAGGATTGTATGTTGAGAACCTGAGGAGCTTTTAAGCTGCCCTCTAAACCATTAGTTAAGAGTCACTGCAGATGAGATCTGGACTTTTGGGGTTGTTTTAGCCCTCAGGTGATCCTTTATGTAGCCAAGTTGTGTTGTCAGCAGCATTGGGGCACAACAAGCTAAACTTAATCTAAAACAACAGTAGAAAAGCCAAATAAAACTACTGGCCAAGTTGAGCAGAGGATTGCTTATCTGGGAACCTATTTAGCCCCCCTGCTCTCTAGCTAGAAGACGTGGTCTGGTCCAGAGAGGCTTCTCTGCTGCTGGGAGTGGGACTAGGCGTTGTAGATGTTATTGTGGTTGTCCCTGCAGAACACGCTGAGTTGCTGGAACTCACAGATTTTCTGTCCCCAACAGATCTGCCATGGAGGGATCTGGGGCCTCCGAGACGTGTGCACATGAATCCATGAGGAGCTTTTCCTGATGTCCCACTCCACTCTTTGTATAGACATCTACCCGACTGAATGTGTTCCGTCATTCAGCTTTGCTTCAGACACCTCTGTGTCCTCTTCCCTTTTCTTGTATGTGTTGACCTAAACGATATGCCATAAACCTCAAGTTACTCATTTTGTTTTGGGGTGAAGATTCAGTTTCCATCTTTTGGATCTAGGTTTCCAGTTAAGTATATTGTCAAGTATTAACAGCACAAGTGGTGGGTTAACTTTAGAATAGGAATTGGTGTTGGGGGTTGGGTTTGCAAGAATTTTTTTATTTTATTTTATTTTTTGGATGAAATTTTATCTATTATATATTAAGACATTCTTGCTGCTGCGCTGCAAAAGCCATAGCAGATTTGAGATGCTATTGAGGGCTGGATTATTCTCCAGTATGAGGAAGGTCCTGTTAAGTTTGAAGCCCTACCCAAACTGAAATGGGGGGAGGGGAGCTTTTGCCTCTGCCAGCGCCTCCCACCTTCCCTTGAAACCCTCTGCCTTTTAAAGTAGGTCCCATTTCACTGCGATGTTGGACACTACAGGTATCTGTCCCTGGGCCAGCAGGGACCTCTGAAGCCTTCTTTGTGACCTGGCTTAATTTTTTTTTTTTTCATCCTATGGTTTTTCTAATGAATTTTCAGGACTTTTGTAATCTTGTAACTATCCAAGCTCCACTTCCTAAATTTTAAGAGCTTTAATTGAAAGTTTAAATTGAAGGTGCTGTTTGTAGACTTACCACCCAATGAACGCCCAGTCATCATGACAAATCCTTGAGTGTTCTCTAAGAAAATGATGCTGGTCATCCTTGCTGTCCTGTGTAGTGAATTGGTGAGAGAAATTATGCTTTTGTCTCCCCCCCCTGCCACCACATATGAGTTTCAAGTTTTATTGCAATAAAAGTGCTTTATGCTGGCTTTTCTCAGCTCTGTGTCATGGTGGTTACTTAAGTGTACATGCCTCACCCACCTTTTAGTGTAGGGTTAATGTAGGTATGCAGTGTCCAGGGGTGTGTCCTGGCAGAAGAACACAACAATAAACATCTTCCCCTTTGGCTGTGGAGTGGGATGGGGGCAGTAGGCTTTACCTCAGAGGAATTGCCTGAAGCCAGGTTGGACCAGTCTACCCCATCATCTTCTGTTCCTTAACTGCTGAGGTCACAAAGAAGTGGGGGGTGGGGATACAGCCAGCTTTCAAGAAGGAAGTCTAGTTGGAGATTTGTTACGTGAAGATGTATGAAGAATTATGAAAAGAACAGGTGTGGCATGCACCTTTAAATCCCAGTAGAGGCAAATTAACCTCTGAATTTGAGGCCAAATTATTTTTTCAAATTTATGAAAGGGCTAGGCGTGGCAGCATATGCCTTTAATCCTAGCACTCGGGAGGCAGAGGCAGGTGGATCTCTGTGAGCTCAAGGCCAGCCTGGTCTACATAGTGAGTTCCAGGACAGCTGGGGCTACAGGGAGACCCTGTCTCAAAAAGAAAAAAACAAAATTTATGAAAGGAAGATTTGAGACTTTAGATCGTTGTTCCTCCTCTGACGTGTGTGGGAAAGACATTGCTGTCTCTTTCCTATTCCCCTACCCTGTGTGTGAGAACAATATTTCTCCCTTATTGAGAGTTACACTGACCACCAGAATGCCCCATACCTTGACAGACACATTCTAAAATTGCTCTGATTTAGCATCATTTATTTTACTTTTTAAATATTTTGTTTTATGTGCATTAGTGTTTTCCCTGTACCGCATATGTGCACTGCCCATGGTGCCAGACAGATACCATGTCAATGCTGAGAATTGAACCCAGGTCCTCTGCAAGAACAGCAAGTGTTTTCAGCCACTGAGCCATGTCTCCATCATTAATTTTAAATGCAGACATTATCAAGTACTGGGATTTTTTTTTTTTTTAAATTCATTTTGTGTATGTGTATGGGAGTGCACATACGGAGATCAGAAGACAGTTTACAGCAGATGGTTCACCTACCAAATGGGTCTTGGGGATTCAACTCAGGTCATCAGGCTTGGTGGCAAACCCCTTCACCCAATGAACCACCTTGCTGGCTTGAATAATTTTGGTTTGGTTTGGTGTTTTTTTTGTTTTCTTTTGGAGACAGGGTCTCCCTGTAGCCCCAGCTGTCTTAGAACTCGATATTCCTTGATCTTACTGAGAACTACCTGCCTATGCCTCCCAAGTGCTGGGATTAAAGGCATAGGCTACCATTCCTGATGAATACTTTTTTTAAAATCCTTCCCTTAAATTATTTTAATTTAGATTTCTGGAATAATGGCCTAGGACCATATCTTATTTCTTAAAAATTCTTTCATCAGATTTGTCTGAGTGGAAGATAGTTTGGGTGAATACCTTTTATAGAAACGTCGTGATACCTACTTACCACGTACTGTTTTTAAAATTTTTATTTTAGGTGTATGGGTGTTTTTACCAGCATGTCCAAGTGCACACATGCATACAGTGTCTGGAGGTCAGGAGGATATTGGATCCCCTGGAACTGGAGTTACGGATGGTGGTTAGCTGTCATGTGGTTGCTGGGAACCTCACCCAGGTCCTCTGCAAGAGCAGTAAGTGCTCTTAGTTGCTGAGCTGTCTCTTATGTCAGAGCTGTCTCTTATGTCACATTTTACTACCATTCTCCTAATACATGTAAAGACAGTGTTTGTTTACATTTTTGTACCCCTATCAAGATCACCATCATTCCTGAAAATTCTCATACCTGTTCCAGTTCAGATCCTACCACACCTCCCCCAGGGACAACAAAATATTTATTTATGTGTATGTGTGTGTACCTGTGTGAGTACATGCTACCTGTGTGCAAGTGCCCATGGAGGCCAGGAGAAGGCATCAGATCCCCAGGAGCTTTAGTTTTAGGCAGTTGTGACCTGACCAACACAGGTGCTGGAAAACATGTCCCAGAAGAGCAGTAAGCACTCTTAACTGCTGAGCCATCTCTCCAGCCCCACAACTGATATTTTTGTTTTCCACTGGAGATCAGTGTTACCTGTTTGGGAATTTATTTATTTTATTTATTTATTTATTTTTGGTCTTTTTGAGACAGGGTCTCCCAATGCCCCAGCTAGCCTGGAACTCACTATGGAGACCAGGCTGACCTCCATCTCACAGAGCTCATCCTGCCTCTGCCTCCCAAATGCTGGGATTACTACCACCCCTGGCCTGTTTGGAATTTATTGAATACACTTTTACCCTGTCCCCTGGCACTCAGCACTAGTGTGCTTCCATTCAAGCATACAGAGAAACCTTTGTTTTCAGTGAACTGAAGTTGCAGAAGCTGCCCAGGCAAGACTGGGCTGCTAGCAGGTAGAAGCCTCACCTCCATAAGGCCACATCCTAATCCCCGGGACCTGTGCAAGGGGATTCTGCGTGCCAACTAAGAGCTCGAAATGAAGAGAGGATTGCATGAGTAGAGCAAGTATGATCAATGTTCAGAGAAGGTTTGGAGAAGATGCGAAGACACTTGAGGACGCAGCATTGTTGGCTTTGAAGATGGAAGACGGAGCAGCAAGCCAGAGAATGCTAGAAGCTTCTGGAATATGTAAAATTCCCTGGGACTCCTGAAAGGAACAGGCCTACCTATAGCTTGTTTTTAGCTCCAGGATACACTTCTAAGACCTGACTTCCAGAGCTCTTTCAAGCTCTTTCGATGTTCTGTTTAGTGTTGTTTGGCCATCATTGAATATTCTTCTGAACTTTGTCCCAGAGCCCAGTAAGTACTAGGTGGGAATGGTGGCCCTTCTCTAATTCCAGCCTCAGGGAGAAATGGGTATTGTGCCCTCTCCCAAAGCTGGCTAGTCAGACTTGCCTCTCAATTGAGAGATCTTCATCAATTGATGTCAACCTTTTGCTTCTGTGTGCACCTACACACATACATATGTATACAACATACATGAAAAAGGATGTGGAGAGCAATAGATAAAGACACTCTGGCCTCTGCATGCACATGTGCACACCTATACAGACACGTCTAGCACCCTACACTTTATCCTTTTCCCCTTCTGAATTGTGCCCTAAGCCCTTAAAACTTTTACTTTAGATCACAGCATAATACAAACTTTGTATTTTGTTTCCCCCACACTTAATGTTTTTATCAAGAGTATTTGCATAACTGTGTAATAGACCTATAATTTTACCACATGAATATATTTACCTACATTTTAAAGGATGTTTTGTTTAGAAAATAAAACATCAATATGAAATTAATATTTAACTATAATTAATGAGAATTTCATTGGTTTAGACCAATGAAAACATTTTACTGGTTGAAAGAGCAAATATATAAGCGCAGCAGGAGCTCTGATGTTTGTTTGGATAAGAAATATAAAATTACCAGGTCCATGGTCGTGCACGCCTTTAATCCCAGCACTCGGGTGGCAGAGGCAGGTGGATCCCTGTGAGATCAAGGCTAGTCTGGTCTACATAGTGAGTTCCAGGTCAACTAGGGCTGAAGAGAGACCCTGTCTCAAAAAGGAAAAAAAAAAAATGGAAAAATTGGCCAATGTAATATTTCACTGATCATAATTTGCGTTTCTTTGAACAAGAATCATCTGCAATCTCAGTGTCTCAGTTTTTGTCAATCCACATAATTGCAAAGTACCTCAAAGGCAGTTGAAAATGGAGCCACCTCCAAAGAGTGGGCTATTTGCAGCACCGTGAGGTGGAGGGGTGGGTCTGTTTTAAGAGTCCTTCACACTGTTAGTGATACTCTGTCAGATACTGATCAGATTTCTATTTGCATTTACTAAGTCAATCCATCTATGAATATGACACTTTTCTTTTTTCACTACCAAATTGAGTTGGGTAGCATGCTAGAAAGGGGACATGCTACAAGGTTGACGCAGGTTGACTGCCTGGATTCCTATTGGCCATGTCAGAATTGTGGGTTTTGTTTTTTTTTTCCCAACAAAACCAAAACATGGGGGTTAGCTATTTAGTTCAATTTGGGGAGGCAGGGGAGGATGGCAGGGTAGGGATTAAAAACATGGGCTGGAGAGATGGCTCAGCAGTTAAGAGCGTGTACTGCTCCTGGAGAGCACCCGAGCTCAATTCTCAGCACCTATAACTCACAACCACCTGTAACTCGCTCCTTGGGATCCAAAACCCTCTTCTGGCCTCTGTGGGCACACTCAAATGTACATACCCACATACAGACATATAAAATAAATCCTAAAATACAAAACAAAAATATGACCCATATCCTGGGATAGAAAA